AGCGAAGACTGCTTTGTCAACTTATCACCTGCCTGCATCAGTAAGCGTTGGCGGAGTTGATTACATCAGTAAAAAGCGCACTTCCACACAAATGTGTCAGTCGAATTGGAACCAAGACCACCATGGAATACGTGAATTCTCAGAAAGGTGGCAAATTATTAGCTGTTCATGGGTACTTATTCATGCGTGAAAAGTGTACAAAGGAGAAAGTGTATTGGAGGTGCCAAAACCGGAGTTGTCCTGCCCGTGCCGTTGTGACCGTGAAAGACGAACTTATAAAGGAACCTCCGGAAGTGCATGGTGCTCATGCACCTAATCGATCCGAGATTCTGAAGAAAAAATTCGTCACAGCGGTAAAGCGGCGAGCAGATGTTTCATCTGAGGCGACCTCCACCGTCATCAGTTCAGAAGTGAGACAACAAGCTCCTTCCTAAGCGTGAAAAAAGGAGTTTGGGGAATCAGGATGAGAATATGAACGCGACCGCGTGCTGAAGTGCATAGAGTTGTTCTCTCGCTTTTCCTCAATTTCATCACTTACATAACGAAGAGTGTGCTGAAGAGGTCTTCCAGTCCATTTTTCTTACCAGCGCTCGGAAGAGATTCCTCAGACTCTGTAATGAGGTTAGTCTATCGAGAGAAGTGATCGTCATTTTCTCCTTCTATTATACCTTAGATGCCAAATATTCCAGTTCAAGTGCGACAAAGCATGCCCTCAACAGTTTCCTTGCAACGCATGATCCAAAGGGAAAGAAGGAAGAAGCTTCCACCTCTTCCTGAGAAGTTTGCAAAATTCGATTTGCCGCAAATCTTCTCACGAACTGTGGACGGGAATGACCGGGTTCTTCTCGATGCCTACCGCATTCTTATGTTCGGATCTCGTGACAGCATCCGACATCTTGCGAGTGCAGAGAGGTGGTACGGGGACGGAACATTCTTTGTTGCCCCTAGGGTGCAACAAGATTCGGCCATGCAATTGTACACGTTGCACGCTGAAGTGAACGGCGCTATTTTCCCTCTTGTGTATGGCTTGTTGAATGCGAAAGATGCGCAGTGTTACTCCATCATGTTGCAAGGCATACTTGACACATTTCAGAGATTCCACTTTGTTCCGAAACTGCAGTTCATCACAACCGACTTTGAGAGCGGAATTTTGTCAGCAGTATCTCAAGTACTTCCTCGTGTGAAACACAACACTTGCTTCTTCCATTTTGCACAAAGCATTTGGAGAAAAATTGTAAGTACGGGGTTAGTCTCTGAATATGCAGATAACGTAGAGTTTGCTTTAGCTATGCGTATGTTGACGGCTTTGGCGTTCGTGCCAGAAGGTGAGGTACAAGCTGCATTCGAAGGTCTCTTGACCTGCATGCCAACAGCAGCAGCCCCAGTCATTGCATATTTTAGAGAATATTATGTCGATGGCCGCAGAAGCAGAGGTCGACCTCGTAGCGGCCCTGTTTTCCATCCTAGAGTGTGGAATGTGAGGGAACGAGTCCTCGGGGGTGAACCACGTACGACCAATGCTCTAGAAGGATGGCACCACCGATTCAATCGCATTGTAGGCAAGGCCCATCCCAATATATATGAATTTCTAGGAGTCTTGCAGAAAGAGGAATGTTTTCAAGCGCGAGAGATGGAAAGAATCTTGTCAGGGTATCCCGCGCGAAAGCTGAAGAAAAAAGAAGAATCAAAGGAAAACGCATTCATCAAATTGTTTCTTCCTATTCCGACCGCGAAGTGCGTGATTACGTGCGTGATTACGTGCGTGCAGTGACACATAATGTTCAGTTTTGAATGCCGGATGTCAGAAGTTGTCACATCTATAACCGCCGATTAGTTTGCTTTTCTTTCTCGACCAAGTGCAGTTTTCCCATGACGAGTTTTTATTATTTCATTGACAAAATAAATAAATGAAGAATTCGACTTTTCTCTCTTTCGACATTTTGACTTTCAACATTTCATTCCTTCGACATTCAGGAATTCGACATAGTAAGTAATCGACAATCGGACAGTCGACATTTGTGCTTTCGACATTTTTACGGGATACGGTTCCGTTACCCTCCCCTGAAAAGTAACTCGTTACCTCAAAAGTTACTGAAAAAAGTAATTAGCTACTGTAACGCGTTACTTTTACTTCGTTACCGCCCAACACTGCCAATTGGTAGGATTGAAGCATAGAGTAGAGAGTGTAACAAGAGGCGATACTCCGAGGGGCAGGGGAAGGTCGAAATATTTCAGAGACATCTGGTGGCTTGTTATCAGCAAAGCTTCCATAAGCATACTTTCATCGCGACAGCGGAATCGGGAATCGTTCGTGGATTCGACCCAAACCGATCCCTCAACGTCGTATCTTCCCCTATTTCATCATGGACGCTTAAAATCCAAGGATTCCCAAGGGAGAGGGCACCACAGCGAGCGATGCCACCGTTCCCGTGCAATTATAGCGGCAACTCTCGTCTCCTCGTTCAACCCGAGAGACGGCGAGATGGGAGCGAATCTCAGATTGTCCGTGGCAGTTGTATGCCCCTCCCTTTCCGGTGGCCGATTTCGAAATATCATTTTGAAAAGGCACATCCTCTGACGATAAGGAAGAGTTCTGTCGAAATCCCAAGTTCGTATCTCTAAGCGTTTCGCCTGTGGAGCTGTCATACAAACACACACACACACACAAAAACACTTGTCGCTCGGCCTAGCTAGCGGTCATGATCGCACACGCCATATGTTTAATCTCCGGATCCGGAGGTCAAAAGAGACCATAATTAGCCTAACGTTACTCATCCTCAAAGAGGTGTCTCGAAAACCCCAAGATTGACTCTCATACAAGGTAGACCTGGTATGTCGAGGGTTGAAATTCTTGTGAAGGAGAGGTGGTAGGCCTTGGTCTGACCTGAATGCAGTCCTTGGGTTTGGCCTGGGCATAACGTTAGTGAGTCTCGTAGAGAAGACGGGAGAGGAGAGGGGTGAAGAAAGGGGAAAGTCTTTGCGAAATGGTTTTCATATTGCTTCAGCTATGGCGTGCTCTATGAACTATGAACTCTATGAACTGACTGATAGGTGAAGTAATTAGCATGTGCTCAGTGCATTGAAAGGCAACTTGGCGAAGAGAAAGCTTATGAACGGGGGTGCAAAGCCTTGGGAGTTGGCTGCCGTACGTTCATGACTTCAGTTGTGTAAAGCACCAGGACTATCGGTCGGCTCACTTGAAATCGCAGTGTCCATGGTCATGACGCATTTCAGTCGTCTAAATTGAAAGCCTTCAGTTTTACTTATATGACTCCTAAGATAAATTGATCCGACGGTGAAGCAGAATTTGCGAGGTGTCGCTCAACCTCGAATAGCTGCATGCTAAAAATAATATTATTAGGTTAGTTGGACGGGATTAGTATGACCCGTATCATCGACAACCAAATGCGAAAACACGAACATAAGATGAATTTATTTTGGAAAGAGTGAAATAAATGTAGGCGTCTGCTGAAGGAGACAGTTACATCCCCCGTTTGAGTCAGCAAAAGACAACGGTGGTTCGAAAATTCACGAGCGGACGGGGACGAAGATTGGTCCTGCAAAAAAACCCATTGCCCTTTCAAGGAGCCATCTTCGTCAGCGGAACTCCCAAGATTACGGTTCCTTGCCCTGGACTGTGTCCTGTGAGTGATTTCACGAATGCTTTCATCCGCTATGTTTATCGATGAACTGGGCTCTCACGTTTGTGTACGTTTCAGCGAAACGCCGCCAGGCCTTTATCGCTGGGGGCTTAGGGGGATTTCATGACATCCGGCTGTCAAAGATAAGCATGTCATAGGTGGAACTCTACATTTTAAACCCATACCCCTCAGCGCAGAGCCATCGATCCCCACCCCCTCACATGCATGTAAAAACAGCGCGCCGCATACGAGGACGAGTCATTTTATTAGGATCATTCAATTGGTGAGTCCAAGTTTATTCTCTTCTCTCGTTGCAACGCCTGCTGCAGAATTCCTATGGCTCGTTTTTTAGTCCAGCTAATTCAAGCAAAAACTTAAAAGAATGATTATATTCACAATGACATGGGTACCGTTGTGTTACGGGTGCAGTCAGTTGATGAAACACAATATTTTTATCTTAACTCTTCGTATTAAATATTACGGACAGGTGTTTTCCGCTGTACAGGAGTTTCCTTTCATTTCTTAAATCAACAGCAACGTTATGAGATGACGGGCCTCATTCCAAGCAAATGGTGTCCCTGGATCATTGCAATGCTTGGCTTGGTCCAAGACTTGCAGGTACGGATTGAGAATACTTATTTTCAAAATGTATTCTGCATCACAATGATGCATTTTGAATCAGCACTTTTTATCCATGATTTCTGCATCAGCTGACGGAAGGGAAGGAAGCAAGGGGTAATCCTCTCAATTTCCCTCCCCGTCACGTCCCGACGAACATGAAGTTCTGCTTCTTCAATGTGACCAATCCCCAGGGATTTGCGGACGGAAATGGATCCCTAAACTTGGTGGAAATCGGTCCATACATGTTTCGGTAATGAAATAGATGAAGTGGTGGTATTTAACTGCTTGTTTTGCGACAAAGGTGATAACCATACTATTTCTTCCTTCAGAGAGGTCATAGAAATGAATGGGCCCGAGATATTTGAAAACGGGACGGTGGAATATTATGAGAAGAAGACTTTCTCCTTCGTGAGAGAAGAGTCGGTCGGGGATCAGAGCGAGTTGATGACCACCATCAACGCTCCAGTACTCGTAAGTTCATGTTATAAAATTGTAAGAAATAGAAAACTCGCTCTCAAATAACACTATTGGCAGCCATAATATGCTCGAGTTTATTACCTTTCTCCGTGAACAATCGCCGAGAAAATGATGAAGCAAGGTTAATCTTGCAAGCGGATTGTTTTGTCCTTCCTGCAAATTAAATTATTAATTAAATTAAGTGACCGCACACCATCAAGTCCGCCTTTCAACTTCGCGAATATGCGGCGCATTTCCTTCTACATTTGAACAGATTTCAGTCTTCGCCAAAATAAAAGAAAGAGCAAAGATGATTCGTCTACTCATATTCAAATCTGCGAGATAAGGTTCTTATTTTGAATGTGGTTTTACTTCGGCGTAAATAAAATGTTAAATTCTCTCTGTGACCTTGACAACATCATCCAAAGTAATAACCTTTCCCGGTTTCTAATATAGACAATCGTGACTGACCGACCGACTGACTGAATGACTGACTGACGCTGATTCTAACCATGTTCTAGAAAGCTTAGAAATCAGAAACTTGGTACCCATGTACCTTTTCGGATGCAGAGTTCAGAAAAAATCCGACTTTGGAGGTACATGCCCTGGGGGTACACATTTTGGAGAGGAGAGTTTTTTTTTACCTATATATCGTGACGGATGACGATGGTCTCGAGAGGCGCGACTGGATGGCCTGGTTTCGAGGGTGTAGTGGTAGCACACCTGACCGGTAATCAGGAGGCCCGGGTTCAATTCCCGGCCATTCCATGGCTTTTATTTTGGCTTCTCTTGACTTTCATGTCCCGTTACTCCTTTCCCTTTCATAACATTATTTTTGCTTGAATAAAACGGAGAGACATGGAAAGCTGAAACCTGGCATGGACGTGCCTACCGAGACGATGTGTTCAGGAAAAAAGAAAAATTTTAGATCCATGCCATGGGGGCATATTTTTGGGGGCCGACGTTTTCAAGTATTTTCTTTTTGTCCTGGCGTATTGAGCTAGTTTGGAAAGATGAAACTTGGTACATAACTACTTGTTGGGATGCTGCATGAAGAAAAATTCAGACTTTGGAAGTAAATGCCCTGGGGGCACAAATATTAAAGGGAGATGCTTTCAAACAATTTTTTTGCATCATTTAAACTGATGAACATGGAAACCTGGAACCTTGCATGAATGCGACTACTGAGACAAGGAGTTAAAGAAATATGTTAAGTCTCGATACATCCCCTGGGGGAATTTTTTATGTGATGGGGCGATGTTTACAAAAAAAAATTTGTCGTGCCGAATTGGACAGAAATGGAAAGGTGAAACCTGGCACACGTATAAATGGTATGATATTATTGAGTTGAGAGAGTATTCAGCATTCATGGTGCATCCCCTCCGGGTATAGCTGTTGGGTGGGTCGGCTTTTCCAAACATGATGTTTCACCAGTGAAAAGGGCAAACGTATTAGATTGAAACTTAGTGGGCATGTAGTTCACTGAGGTTTGACTTCGGTGAAAATGGTACTTTTCGGTTAAAACCCCCGCGGGCACATATTTTGCAAATGGTGTATTTTCTGATCCAGCAAAACGGAGGGCGCTAGAAAGTTTAAACTTGGCCTGTACCTGATGGATACCTGAGTAAAGAAAAAATTATAATTTGTATTATATATATACGATCATGAGTATGAGTAGAATTTTCGTTAAAACCCACGAGGCACTTTTTTTCAGTCCCATTTTCATGATTTTTTTTGGTCGAACCAAACAGAGACAGAAAATTTAAACTTCCCTCAGAAGTACCTGTTTGATGACTGAGTACAGGAAAAATCCTACTTTTCAAATATGTACCCTTAGCGTAGATTATAGGAGGGAAGTATTTCAAAATGTATTCTCCACTCTTACAAAATGGGACACATGAAAAGATTTCAAGTTAGGGACACTATAAGTCATAGAAGTAATGATTTTGATCAAAATCAAGACTTTCGTCCCCGTATATTACGTATTTCACTGGGGATGTACTTTAAGTGCGTGTTTGCCATTTCGCAAAGAATAAATCAATCACTATCCAAGGTTATGTAGCGCCGAAGGCGCGACCATAACTCGCTAGTAAAATATGTATTTATATGTTTGTGTATATGCTCCTTTAATCTATTTACTTCAGTTAATTGGATGGAGCAAAGGAATTGTCATTTTCATCTTTTGACCATGTCACACTTTTGCTGTGACTATGCATGAAGCATGCCTATGAGGAATTAGAGGGATGTCATCCATTATGTAATGGAAGTGCAGGAAATGCAGAGAACTTATTGACTGATTCTATCAATGCGTCTTCACCTCACCTTCCGTATTGCAAATGGAGCAACCCGTTGGAGACACCTGTAATGCTTAATCTTGTACGTAACTGGCCAATCCGATAGAAAGGATTCGGTTTGATCATTGTATACCAGAAAATATTTGAGTGAATTTGGAGGCTGCCTGAGTTGCAGAATTCGAAGTAATCAGCTTTGCAAAATTAAGCCATTGCATCGCATATGCATAATATTATGGGATGAGTTTTTCGAAACGCGAGACAACTAAGCAGGGGAATTGACACAGATTGTAACCATACAAGTTTCGAAGCGCCCAAACTTATTACGTAAGATTTGAGTTATTCATGCGGAATCCCGAGGAATGCGAATTCCTAGTTCATCAAAATCACGGTTTTAGACATGCATTACAAATTGTTTCAGGCTGAAACTTGGAAAGCCGCCAAGCTCTTTTTGAACTCTTCATTCGGACGGATCAAATTCTGTATGGAATAGATTCGTCTCAAAAATCAGTACATAAACAAAGGTAGGCAGTTGCAAGACGTGACTCCATTTGTAGCAATATATCATGTTTATTGGTACGGAAATGCATTTACATGTGCTTGACATCAACATGAAGTATGACCGCCATGGTTGGCTAAACATGCAGCTAGACGTCGAGGTATCGAATTATACAGGCGTTGGATATCATCCTGCGGCACAGTCCGCCACGATTTTTGAAATTGCTCCTGCAGGGCGGTAAAGGCGAGCAAAAGTTGTGCGGCAATAGTGTGGCCTGCTGAAACATGAAGTAGGGGAAGCCATGTTTCGGCAGGACAATGCCCGGCCACACACGGCCGTCATCTCCAGATAGTGTCCACGTGATGATTACACTATGCCCTGGCCACCCATGTCCCCGGATGTGTCGCCGATCGAAAACGTTTGGGACATGGTAGGACGCCGTCTGTAGGCCATTCCGACACCTGTCCGCACTATTGCAGCCCTGCGGGAGCAATAGCGTGGTGTTTAGGAAATTCTAGTCTGCGTTTGTTTCCCTTAGTCTTCCATTGGGGAATTCCTGGCTTCGACGCTGGCTGTGACATGAATAAAACAACTATGCCCAGTAGAGGCATGTAATGTAAATTTAAGTCCCTTCTTCCGAAAAATTCGTACTGCTTAAAAAAAACATATTTTCGCATATTTTCCCATATTCGTGCGTATCTCATACATATTTTGGCATTTTAAACGCATATTATGTGCATATTTCAGGGCTTATTAGGGCATACAAATCCGTTCCCTAGCTATGATGTGTACTAAAAGTCCAGGCTGCTTTCATACTTAATGATCCATTGGACTTAAGATGCTTGAAGTAGTCTTCAATTCCAATTTAATCACTAAATGTGTTTTTGGTTGAAGTTCCCTACTTTAGGACATGCTCCGTTTTCCTGGGAATAGGATCACCATATTTCCTAGATCATTGAATACTATTCTGTGGAGTCACTTGTGAGATAAGTATGGGGTGATCATTCAAATATTTGAGAAGAGTGGAGTATTTATTCACTAAATTCGGTTGCCATATTGTTGCTACTCTATAAATCCCCAGCATATTTGAATTTCTCCATGATTTGGCTCATTTATATTTTAAACTAGCGCCTTGGACGCGCCTTCGGCGCTCTGCGATCTAAGGCATGTTTTCGATGCTCACCTCTACTAAGGCGGTCAAACTCCTTTGTTCATGGGTTCAATTCTCGCACCTTAAAGTAAAGGTGTTAAAGAATATATTATTAATGACGCCATGTCATTTGTAGCATAAGGATCATCAATTAACAATTGTAAGCGTGCCGTTTAGTGTTCCATTGGTGTATTCAATTCCTGTCTATGGTCGAGGCACTCTTAATAGCATATCAATCTCCAAAAAAAATCCAAGGTGTGGAATGATACAGCTATTTATTTTCTCTCCTGCTTCCATGAATGAAGAAAATATATAAGAGTGGTATTAGCCTAAGCATCCATCCATGGGTTGGGCCTAGGCCTGCGAAATCAGTCCCCCAACCCCCCATAACGTGCCCCCAGGGCATGGACCCCCAAAGATTGGCCATTCGAAGTTAGACATTCTCTGGAATCGAAAACCTATCAGCTATTCACTTTCCTTCCGTTTTGTTGAAGGCAAGGGGAGCCTGAGAATGGCCTACAGTAGGCCTAAGCGTCCATCTGAGGGTTAAACCTAGGCTTACAAAATGCGACCCCCTGGAATGAGCCCCCAGGGCACTTACCCCAAAAGTTGGAATTTTTCTGGAGTCATCAATCTGACAGCTATATGTGTACCAAGTTTCAGCCTCTCATCATGTCTAGAACATGGTTAGAATTAGCGTCAGTCAGTCACCATCGTCTATATATNTAGAACATGGTTAGAATTAGCGTCAGTCAGTCACCATCGTCTATATATATTAGATGCAATTTTGAAGAGAAAGGAACCGTCACTTAGTTTAGGATAGTCCAGTATATTGGAATTATTAACTCACTCTTATAGCTTTACAGAATTTCAGTTTTCCCTCTTAATATAGACGTGCAAAGTTATTTTCATCTGTAGAGCTAAATTGGCAAACTGAAGTTAAAAGTAAAAGCTTGCAGCTCTTCATTATCTAAGTCAGTGATTCCCAACCTTTTCTTGCTGCGACCCGAAATTGGTCACCAACTGGACCTCCCGACCCTCAGGCTTAAAATAAAATTTATATTTGCACATAAACATCTTCATAACGAAATGCGATGCATTTTGCAAAATATGTATTCCTTCCGATGACCCTTCGCGACCCTACTGAGGACACCCCGCGACCCTGATCTTGGTCGCGACCGGAGGTCCGGAACCACTGATCTAAGTAATCCAGAGTGGCTCACTGGATTCCATGACAGAGTAATAATCCTCAATATGTTCATGTTAGAAGCATAACAACTGTACACTTTACTATACTGTGCATATCACATTCGCTATGCCCTCATCAGGAAAATCAACCTCTGGAATATCATTATTAACTAATCCTGTTTTTTTAGTTTTGCAGTTCATTGTGATTGATGTTTAAATAATGAGCTGGAGCTGCATGAGTGATTACTTGATGAATCATGCTCTAAGAGGATAATGTGTTTCCTTTGTGGTTCATGTTGACATTCTGAAGACATTAGAATGAGGACTAATAGTCTCAAATGGCAAAAGAAAGAAAGATCTTGTGTTGAATAATTATTTGGTCGGATTGCATTGTTTGCGAATCTCTGCGGAGGAAAGAGTCCTTGCAAAAAGCACAGAGAAAAATACGTTCCCAAATGTACTTTTAATCCATGTCGATGATATTCCCACTTCATGTGGAGTCTACGTATACTCTCATCATTTACTCAACGTTTCCATATCTACGTTTATTCAGCGTAGATTATATCCCCATTTCCACGTCGAATCTACGTATACTTTTTTGTTTACTCAACGTTTCCAGGTCGAT